AAGTTCAGTGCTCCAGGAGTTGATGGAGATGTAAGCAAGGTTCATTTTGAATATGTTTCAGTCGTGCTGCTTTCACTATGATGTGGCATTGGTAGTGGTAGTTAAAGGGGTGGGTACAACATTAAATTCGCAGTACATATTTAGGTATGTACAATAAACTACAAGTATATAATGTAATAGGTATCGTTTATAATGTAATAGGTAGCGCTTATATAATATATTGTAAAGTATCTATCCTTTTTATAAAAGTGTCCATACTTTTTTCACTGTGGAAAACATTAATTTAAGGTTATCTTTTGAGTGAGTTTTAAGATATTAATTAGTAATTATAGGCGTCTAATGATTTATTTTTTACGTTACGATATATATTATTATTAAATTAAAAATTCTAAATTATTTTATAAAATATCAAAACAATCAAATAATTTTTTGTGCAAAAAATTATACATCAAATTACTTTATTCCAACATGTGACAAGTGTGACAACTCCATCAACTCAACTCAGCTTTGAACTCAATCAATATTGTCTTTTAGCTTGATGGTTCATAAAGCATGTTACTTGAACAGTATGAATCAATTGCAATTTTCATGTTCAATTTAACACTGCATTTCAAATTCATTTCATATGTAATTGGAGTTTGAATTTAATTTCAATTTGAGTTTGAATTTCAATATATATTTCGGCTCCACTATAAATATTAGCCCAAGCCAATATGCATGTTACATTGATTATTCCTAATTTCCATTGTTTTTTTCTAACGTTTAAACGCGAGGGAAATCCAGACCATTGTATTTTTTGGTCAACTTTAAAGCGTCAGAAACGTTTCGGGCGTATGATCTGGGTGGTAAACAAATAGCAACTAAAATCTAAGTCTGAAATGCTTCTGAGTACCACCCAAATCATAAGTCTGAATACTTCCGATGCTCATCAAAATCCAAAGCTCATATGGTGCCAAGCAAAAGGAAATCAAAATTCAAATCTCATATGATGCCAAGCAAAAGGAAATCAAAATCTACAACTTGATTTTGAACATTGATATGATATGTTCAGTTGTGGTAAACAAATAGCAACTAAAATCTAAGTCTGAAATGCTTCTGAGTACCACCCAAATCATAAGTCTGAAATACTTCCGATGCTCATCAAAATCCAAAGCTCATATGGTGCCAAGCAAAAGGAAATCAAAATTCAATCTCATATGATGCCAAGCAAAAGGAAATCAAAATCTACAACTTGATTTTGAACATTGATATGATATGTTCAGTTGTTATCATGTTGGGATTTTCTCGTTTTTGATTGCTTGGATAGTTGTTCTCTTGCTTCTTCAAGTGTCCTTAGCTTGTAATTTATAGCTTGGAATGTTTTGATGTTGTATATATTATTATTAAAATTAAAACAATAAACATATATTACATATTTATTATTATCTTTGGTTAATGTTGTTAAATTAAAAATTCTAAATAATATTTTATAAAATATCAAATAATCAAATAATTTTTTGTGCAAATGAAATTTAAATTAATATTGTAGGTGGAAAACATGAAACACTATTAAAAAAAATTGAAACATAAATTACATAACTTTAAAAAAGTATCGATCCTTTTTATAAAGGTATGGACACTTTCAATATAATAGGTAAAATTATGATGTAATAGGTAGCGCTTATATAATGTAATAGGTATCGTTTATATAATGTAATAGGTAGTGGTTATATTGTAAAGTGTCTATCCTTTTTATAAAAGTGTCTATCCTTTTTATAAAAGTGTCCATACTTTTTTCACTGTGGAAAAAATTAATTTAAGGTTATCTTTTGAGTGAGTTTTAAGATTTTAATTTAGTAATTATAGGCGTCTAATGATTTATTTTTTACGTTACGATATATATTTAATGTTGTTAAATTAAAAATTCTAAATAATATTTTATAAATATCAAAAAAAAATCAAATAATTTTTTGTGCAAATGAAATTATTAAATTAATATTGTAGGTGGAAAACATGAAACACTATTAAAAAAAATTGAAACATAAATTACATAACTTTAAAAGAAGTATCGATCCTTTTATAAAAAGTATGGACACTTTCAATATAATAGGTAAAAATATGTAATAGGTAGCGCTTATATAATGTAATAGGTATCGTTTATATAATGTAATAGGTAGTGGTTATATTGTAAGTGTCTATCCTTTTTTATAAAAGTGTCCATACTTTTTTCACTGTTGAAAACATTAATTTAAGGTTATCTTGAGTGAGTTTTAAGATTTTAATTTAGTAATTATAGGCGTCTAATGATTTATTTTTACGTTACGATATATATTATTATTAAATTAAAAATTCTAAATAATATTTTATAAAATATCAAATAATCAAATAATTTTTTTGTGCAAATGAAATTATTAAATTAATATTGTAGGTGGAAAACATGAAACACTATTCAAAAAATTGAAACATAAATTACATAACTTTAAAAGAAGTATCGATCCTTTTTATAAAAAGTATGGACACTTTCAATATAATATAATGTAATAGGTAAATTTGTAATACTATCGGTATAAATATACCGGTTTACTTATAAATTAGGTAAATATAAGCACTACCTATTACATTATATAAGCGCTACCTAGTATGTTATTGTACTTTATAATATTTCCGGTTAAATAATATAACATAACCGGTATAAATTTTAACCGGTCACTTGTTTAACCGGTCACGCCGTATATTAGCCGTTTTTTAGGCGCCGCACCGCAGAACTACCCTAATGTAATGAAAATAAAATTTTGAATTAATTGAGTAGTTTCAGTGATAAGAAAAAATATTATTCTCCTTATAGAATTCGGGTTCGAACAATTGTGTCTGTACATAAAGTATATATTATCATAATTTAAGAAAAATTATAAACAAATATTTTTCTTATAGTCATCACATACTATTAAAAATATAATAACTATTTGTTTAATATTTTATTTATTCTTGTTTTTTTATTTTATTCATTTAACTATTTTTTTCCTTAACACGAGAGAGGATAGACGAGTTAAAGATATAGAAAATGAAGCATAGACGTGAGATAAAATGCATAAAAGCCTAACTTTGTGAATGGTCAAGCATGAGCTCTTTTGCTTTGGCCATGTCACTCACACTGTCACACATCATAAGCAAATTAAACAACACACATGGAGAATGCATGGCTATATATGATGGGAGAGAAAAAGTTTCATCATTTAATGAGTGGCAGTAACAGTAGCAGTAGCAGCAGCAGCAAAGCTAAGGCGTGACAGCGATCGAACTAAACTGGGTCGTAGCCTTAAATGTTTTAAACCAATGTTTTGACTCTTATATGATGATATAGAGGATGGTAGAATGTTCATGATATTCAAAATGTTATGAATTTGAAATAGAAAAATAATTAACATAAAATTATATGTAATTTAATAAAAGAACTAATTTATTATAAATGTATATGTTTTTTGCTTTTCTAATTTAATTTATGTCTCGTAAGATTTAATTATATTTTCATAAAATACAGGACTCAAACTCTAAAAGTTAAGACATATTTTTTGTCTGTAGATAGATAAACCTGATCACAAAAGTTTCCTACAAACTAACTATATGAAAACTCATAAATGTAAAATTTATGGACAAAAAAGAAAAACTCGTAATATCACAAATAATTATAATAAAGATTATAAAATACACAATAACTTTACCAATTGAAGTATATATTTATAATTTAAAGCTCATAAGATATTAGATAACAAATCTGTATGACACTGTAAAATCAGATCCAAAACTACAACCATTGAGAAAATTTTCACTAGAATCATACCTCAAAATTTTAGAACTGAACCAGAACATATCATGTGTCTAACAACACATAAGTTGTGAGGAGAGGGTGACCGGCAGTGTCTGAATAAAATTGATAGTTGTTGGGTTGGTGGTACTGAGAATTTTGTCATGTTTCTGTCCGTGGGTGATTGTGCAGTGCTTCCTCTTAATATTTGTAATGCCGAACTTTGACTTCTTGCCTTTTTATCTTCATCATTCATATTTTCATTTCAAGTTCAACGGGAACACGTACAATGCGGCATTTTGATATTAAGTTAAATAATATATTGATTTTATTATTATTTAAATAATAAAATTAATAAAATATTATCTAAAATATTATTATTTTTTATTTAAAATATCAATATTTTTTTAATGTTTTTGATAAAGTGTCGAACAATAACAAAATCAATAGAAAAAATAACAAAATCGATAGAAATAATAATGTTTCCGATAATTTTTTTATTGATTTTATTATTTAAATAATAACAAATTTGATAACTCATTTTTTAACCGTATATTAAAAATACCGCACGTGATCATTTTTCGAATTCAACCCTTGTCCTACACCCAATGCTAGTAATTATATTCTGACTTTTATTACTTTTTTTCACAAGTTCCAATTTCTCATGTGAGCCTTATTTGACACTTTACCATAGTACATTTAAAAATACATTTGTATAATTGATATTTTAAGTTCATAAGTGGGGTTAAAAACAATGTTACGTTTCATTTTAATTTATTTGAATTCCATTGAGTGTAATATTTTATACCCATTATTGATTCATATTTAGAGAAGTGTTATTCCATTCGAATCCGGTTTAACTTTTAAGATTTAAACTTGAATCTGATATGATCTGACGTAAATATATACATATCTCATTTTTATTAGGTGAAATATTGACATAATTGAAAAAAATAAAGATATTATCTCTAAATACATAAAGATCAATTATATTATTATTTTCAAATCGACGTAACATAACAAAAATAATCACTATCAATGCTAATATAAGTCTAATATAAGTCATTAACTAACTAAAACTGAAACTTGCCGCATTTATTAATCCCAGATACGAAAAGCACTTATTATTTCACTTAAAAAATAAATAAAATAAGAAAATGCCACGTTTGCCATTGCCAAGGCCAGCTCGCAAGTAAAAGAAGGCAGAGCTTTAAGCTTAAGCTGCCTCTTTCTCTCTCTCGCTGGAAACTTCATTTGTCGCTTTACCTTTCTCTCCAATTCTTACTATCCTTCTGTTTATTCCGAGAGAAAATCAGATCAGATCTTTCAGAAAAAATATATTTTGTTGTTGTTGTTGTTGTTTTTTTTTAATTTTAATATTACCGACCAGTTTCCCCCCGAAATTCATCCACATTTTCCCACAAAAAGTTTCTTCTTTTTAGTTTTATGATGTTTTTTTTTCATTTGAGTTCTCTCTCTTTATTCTCGAGAGATTCGGTGCGGTTTGGTGTTTGATTGATAGATTCCCACCTCTGGAGTCTTATACGTGGGTGCCTTTTTAATTTCTCTTGTTTCTTAATGGTGAGTGGAAATGGAGGATTGGGGATCCGTACGATTTTGACGTGGTAAATGATTAAGCATCGTAGAGATTTGAATGCGTTGCGGCGTTATTCATCTTTTAATAGCATTAACTCTGCTTTACTCTCATTTTTTAACGCCCTTTTCTTTCACCGCTGCCAAACACTTAATTCCTCCGTTGTTCTTCTTCCACTGAAATTTGATGATTTCATGTTGGTTGGTTTTTTTATTGCTTACAGAGGAGAAGATATTTTCCATTTTTGGGAATTGGGAATTTATTTTATAGCTTCAGCAGTCGTGACTCGTGAGGCAGAATTAATGATAACTGAGAGAAAAAGCTTATTCAATTTCGTTTGTCCAGATCTGATCATCTTCATTATTCTTGTCATATCTCTACTCTAGATTTATTTTAGGTTTACTTTTTTTCATAAATTTTGCTGTTTTTTTTATAATAACTGCTTATTCGTATAAGATGATTCGTTTGCTTTTGTTTTCTATTTGTTTTCCATAATGCGCAGATCAGGATGGTTTTTTTTACATTCCATTGAACAACATTAATAGCTTCAAAATCAAAGCTTTTCCTGCTCAATTGTATAGAGATGTCAGGTATATTAATTAATCCTGCTGTATGTTTACTTGTTTTGTTAGAAAATGCTTTTATATCCTTCCAATTTATTGTATTGGGAAAAGGGGTGGAAGAAATTGTGGCAAATGATGAAAGCAGAGATAGAAGGTCTGATTTTGATAACTCTGAGGATGAGAGGAGGAGATCCAAAATTGGGAATCTGAAAAAGAAGGCCATAAATGCATCCAACAAGTTCACTCATTCTCTCAATAAAAGAGGGAAGAGGAAAATAGATTACAGGGTCCCTGCTGTATCTATCGAGGATGTCAGGGATGCAAAGAGGAGGGTGCTGTGCATGAGTGCGTCAAAAGCTTCTCCATGAGGATTTGTTGCCACCTAGGCATGATGATTATCATACTTGTTGAGGTTAGTTGTTGCTTTGGGCAACTGTTGCTTACTTACTAAAGCATGCTGATTAATGCTACTGCTCTTTTAACTTGTAGATTCTTGAAAGCTAGAGAGTTTAATATTGAGAAAACAATCCAGATGTGGGTAGAAATGCTTAAATGGAGGAAAGAGTTTGGAACAGATACCATTTGGAGGTGAGGAATGCTTAGTTTGTTGTATTTCTTTCTTTGCTTCTTCATCGGAAAAGAGTTAACAGATAAGACCTAAAAGGAATGTATTGCATCATTTGACTAGTCCAAATAGCCTGGCACCCTTAAATATTATGTTTATTTCACGAAGGGCTAGAATTATATTTTTATTTTTCTTTAATTATACAAATTTTAACCTTTGTTGAATGAACAGGATTTTGAGTTTGAAGAGCTAGAGGAAGTATTGCAATACTATCCCCAAGGGTACCATGGAGTTGACAAGGAAGGGAGACCTGTTTATTGAGCGGCTAGGAAAAGCTCATCCAAGTAGGATTATGAAAATCACCACCATAGATCGATATCTGAAGTACCATGTCCAAGAGTTTGAGAGAGCTCTATTGGAGAAATTCCCTGCTTGTTCAATTGCTGCAAAGCGACAAATCTGTTCAACAACTACTATATTGGATGTACAAGGACTGGTATATGGCTCTTATCTTTAATGTCCTTCAACAATTTGATATTTGACAACATTAAAAAATACCATTCTGGTAGAACTTTGCTAGCCTTGTAGCTTTTAGAAAAAATGCATTGTTATTCTACTAAAATTTTTCTTTTATGCATGGGTCTGGACTAAAAGTGAATGCAAAAGCTTATTTTTACCTTGATCTTTGCTATGGCATCATTTCATTGATGACTTGGAACAAAGGCACTAATGGAGTGTGTGATAGGGTCTGTCATATTTTCTGTCGGATTTTGCAATAAGTTCTTCTGCTAGTGATTGGTGTTGTTGTTTACTTTATTTCACCCAAGTGGTATAATTATAATCACTGATTAAATGTTGTTTTTGAACTGCGTACCAATTCTTTGTTTCCTCTAAAGCAGCCAAATGATAGGATAATTAATGATTAGATGTTTTTGAAGTGATTGCTGATCCCCTAATTGGTGATTAAATGTTATTCTTGAATGTAGAGCATGAAGAATTTTAGCAGGACTGCTGCAAATCTTTTGGCTGCCATGAGTAAAATAGACAACAGTTATTACCCTGAGGTATTTTATCTAATCCATTCATGTTTTTACTTTCTGTTGCTACTTGGAATGTAATTCTTTTTTATATTGCTATACAGACATTACACAGAATTTATGTAGTCAATGCTGGTCCTGGATTCAAGAAGATGCTTTGGCCTGCTGCTCAGAAATTCCTGGATGCAACGACAATTGGGAAGATAAATGTAAAGGATATTGCATTAGGCATTTCTTTCTATTCCTTTCTCTTCCTCAGTGGTTATTCAATGCTATTTGCTAATTGTAGGTCTTGGAGCCTAAATCTCTTGGTAGGCTACTGGAGGTCATCGACTCTAGGTCTGTTAAATATCTGTTCATTCTTACCCTTGAGAGAATTCACCTTATGATCTCTCCTAAGTCCTTGCTTTTCTTCACCTCTTTCAGTCAATGCCAGATTTCTTAGGAGGGTCATGCACCTGCTCTACAGATGGAGGGTGTCTTAGATCCAATAAAGGTCCGTGGAATGATCCGAAGATAATGAAGGTAGCCATCCTTTTAGTCCTTGGAATGGTTTTTAGACATGATTTAGGTTTTACTGAACTTTTATCTGGAGATTAACATGTATAATGTTTCCATTGATAGCTTGTACATAATGCAGAGGCAACATTTGTGAGGCAAATTACAAGAGTATCGAATGACCAGCATAACTATGAATCTTATATTCAGATACGAGCACTAAAGGCAAGTATTGTGTCCTGCGATCATTCAGGACATCAGTATTCTGTGATTATAATACATTCTCATGCATGTTTTTCAACATATACTCTGTCAGGGAACGACTAGTGACGCATCAGTAGCAGAGTCTGGGTCAGAGATGGATGACCAGTGTTCTCCAATTGGACGAACAAGCTCTGCGTTTTCTTGTTTGGCACCAGTTCGTGAAGAAGTGAGTTGCAAAAGCAAAGAAATCTGTTTTATTGATAAGTGATGTGTGCTTCTGGCCTTTTTTAATAAGTTTGATTGTAATTTATGCAGGTGAGGGTGTCGGATCCAAATGCTTATTATAGTTGCGATGATGGTTTCCCTATGATTGAGAAAACCATAGAAAGTGCCCAAGGAATGACATATTCCCTAGATCAGTTGCCCAATTATAGTAATGTGGATAGCCAATCTCCTGAAAGAGCATATTTTCATTCAGAAGGTATTTGAAAATGCCATTTCATCACAGTAACGTTTCTTGTTTACTATCTGATTAATGTATGATGTTGATAATTTACCATATATAGTTGATGTTTATTTGTTATAATCCCCTACCCTTGGATTTTCTTTTCCCCCTCTAAATTGGTATTAAATTTCAGGAACTTCAATCACACGTTTGTTAGACACTGTTAAGGAAAAGTTTGGGAGAAGGAATATTCATTCCGTGGCAAAAATGCTAATAGCTTTATTGGTTAGACTGGCTACTTTTATTCGCACTGTTCGATTTGAAGCTTGGCGAAGGCCAAACTCTAATCATCCTTCCAATACAATGGAACCCACACGAATGGCCATTCAAATTCAACAGTGCAAGAAGCTGTTAAGGAAGAAGACCATTTCCGTCCTTGTGTTGAGCGTCTTCAGAAACTCGAGAAAGCATTTGAGGAACTTAGCAACAAGCCTCCTGTAATTCCCTTAGAAAAGGAGAAAATGCTCATGGAATCTCTGGACCGGATCAAATCTCTCGAGTTTGACCTTGACAAAACTAAGCGAGTATGGCTCATCTTGGTTACTTTATAAAAGTGAGAGGTTCAGAGGCAGGATATTGATTTCAGTTTTGATAGATTTTTTGATAATGATGTCATTTTATACAGGTCCTACATGCTACAGTAATGAAGCAACTTGAGATTGCCGAGTGGCTGGATAATATACGAGCATCTAAATATCGTGTAAGTTCCATTCTCCATAAAATAGTTTAATTTTATCACGTTTAATTCTGTCAAACGTGACAAGAGTCAGAAGAACGGAAGGGGTAATCAAGAAGTAATAAGTGAGGCAATTGATTGATAATTTCACACGAAATGAAAAGGAGGTGTTAGTGAGAGAAGCTCCTCCTTCTCTCTAAAATCAGTTGTTTGATAAGTTTTTCTGTCTTTATTCCTTTTAATTTCTCTTTGATGTCGAGTAAGGTGAGAGTTCCTGTTGAGAAAACTATTTCACAGTGATATTTTCAACATTCCAGAGATTTTTCATTACCAAGGTCTTTGGTTATTTTTCGATAAATGGCGAGGTGGTTGATTCTTTCATCCCTAATAAAAGAAGCAAGGGAGGAAGTAGATTTGGTTTTGTTTGTTTCACCAGACTGGAGGACGCGAGGAAAGCTATCAACTGTGTTGATGATCTTGGATTCATTGTAACAAAGTTTGAGTTTTCATGGCGAGATATCATCCTCGTGATGTTTTCTGGAGGAAGAATTTCTCTGGTCCATATCCAGTCGAGGGCAAGAGTGTAGTGGAGGATGTTAGTCATACGGAGGCCCCCATTGTTGGTTCTGTTGACGAGAGTAAGCTCAACTATCAAATTGGTAGGATGGTGCAGAATGTTTATTAAGTGGGTAGAGTCGTCTTCGTTGGAAGAGGCATTCGCATCCCCGTTATCCAAGGTGGGGGAGATCGTTGGTGCCTCTCCAGTTAAGTTTCCCGAGCTGGAGGTGGGTGTTGAAGATGCAGGAAGATTTGTGCACTCTTCGGAGGTGCAGTTTGCCGAGAGGTATTCTGAGAAAGAAGAAATTTTTTTCTATTTTGGGGAGTAGTGCTAGAGGTAGCTTCTTGTCGGGTGAGGGTGTGGATAGGAACATAGGCGAGGAATTGATGATGGGTCCGAGGAGGGCTGTGTGGGTCAGGGGATGGTTCTTTCGCAACTTGAGAAAGTGGGGGAACACGAGACATTGCTGGTGCACGTGGAGAGAGAAGCATGGATGTCTTTAAGGACAGTTGTTTTTCTGCACGTGGTTATGAGGGGAGTAAGGATTATTTAATTAATTTTCCCATCCTGGATGGTCGCTTAGTGTCAAGGGATTTGGAAGAGTGAGCCTAAAGGATAAAGTGGATCTGTTGGTTCACGCGGAGAGGGAGAGAAAGAAGATGCCTACAGGAAAAGTAGTGAGCCTGCACATGTTTTGAGGGCTCGAAGGATTATTATAATGATTTCCCCATGTTGGATGGTCGGGTTGAGGCAAGGGTGGTGGAGGATAGGATTCACGAGGGCCTTTCTTACAACTGCGCATACAAAAATCCAAAGGGCAACGCAAGGCAGTACATGAGACCAAAGGAGGGTTTTGGCAACAAATATAGATCTGACCAAATTCGTCTAGATAATTTTACAGCTCCCAAAAGAAGTATAGGGGTTACCGAAGCAAGAGCCATCAGAGTAAGGTGCAGTGGGAGGAAGAGGTGTCTGTTATTGATGGCAGATTCATATATGATTCTGACTTTCCAGCATTGGGGTAGTCCCAACAGAAGGATGCGATCGATTCCTTGCTATTTGGGAAAGAATTGGGTTGGGAGTCTAATGGGTCTGTAGTGTATCTGATTTCGGAAGACTGGCGGGGAAGGAGTAGAAGTTTCAGGTGATCTTCATGTTTTTGTTTGGAGCTGGAAGTTCGGATGGTCTTATCCGACAAGACGAGTTAATGTGGTGGAAATGCGGCTATGTGCGTGCTGTTTTTGTATTCTTCATGATTAAGTTGGTGGCTTTTGAGTTAGAAGTTGGCTTCTTTGGTTTAGTCAGCTGTTACCTTGGTTTTTATTATTGTTGTTTTGTTTTGTTTGG